CAGCATAAATATTTTAAATATTTTAAGTCGGGGACCCGGGGATTTAAAATATTTAAAATATGTAACATATTTAGGCCTCAAATCAGCTTAAATATTTTCAATATTTTAAATCCCGGGAACCCAGGATCTGAGCCCGAATTAAAATTTTAAATAGTTTAAATAATTTAAATATTTTAAATCGGGTCCCGGGGATTTAAATTATTTAAAATATTTAAAATATTTAGTAAGGCCCCAAATCAGTTTAAATATTTTAAATATGTTCAATCGGGGCCCGGTGATTAAAAATATTTAAAATATTTAAAATAATTAGGCCCCAAATCAGCTTAAATATGTTAAATATTTTAAATCGGGGGCCCGGGGATTTATAATATTGAAAATATTTAAAATATGTGGGCCCCAAATCAGTTTAAATAGTATAAATCTTTTAAATCCCAGGAACCCAGGATCTGAGCCTGATTTAAAATATTAAATATTTTAATTATTTCAAATATTTTAAATCGGGGCCCGGGGATGTTAAATATTTCAAATATTTATAATATTTAAGCACCAAATCAGCTTAAATATGTTAAATATTTTACATCGGGGCCCGGGGATTAAAAATATTTAAAATATTTAACATATTTAGGCCCCAAGTTAGTTTAAATATTATAAATATGTTAAATCGGGGGCCCGGAGATTTAAAATATTTAAAATACTTAAAATATTTAAATCATTGAAAATTTTAAATCGGCCCCAGCTCCAGAAATCAGGACCCGGGGATTTAAAATATTTAAAATATTCAAAATATTTAGGCCCCCAATCAGCTTAAATATTTTAAATATTTTAAATCGGGGCCCGGGGATTTAAAAAAAAATCAAAATATTAAAAATATTTAGGCCCCAAATCAGCGTAAATATGTTAAATATTTTAAATCGGGGGCCCGGGGATTTAAAATATTTAAAATATTTAGAATATTTAGGCCCCAAATCAGCTTAAATATTTTAAATATTTCAATTCCCGGGAACCCAGGATCTGAGCCCGATTTAAAATTTTAAATATTTAAAATATTTAGGCACCAAATCAGCTTAAATATTTTAAATATTTTAAATCGGGGCCCAGGGATTTAAAATATTTTAAATATTTAAAATATTTAGGCCCCAAATCAGTTTAAATATTTTAAATATTTTAAATCGGGGGCCCGGGGATTTAAAATATTTAAAATATTTAAAATATTGAAATTATTTATCATTTTAAATCGGCCCCAGCTCCAGAAATCAGGACCCGGGATTTAAAATATTTAAAATATTTAAAATATTTAGGCCCCAAATCAGCTTAAATATTTTAAATATTTTAAATCGGGGCCCGGGGATTTAAAATATTTAAAATATTTAGAATATTTATGCCCCAAATCAGCTTAAATATTTTAAATATTTCAAATCCCGGGAACCCAGGATCTGAGCCCGATTTAAAATTTTAAATATTTTAAATATGTTAAATATTTTAAATATTTTAAATCGGGGCCCGGGGATTTAAAATATTTAAAATATTTAAGATATTTAGGCCCCAAATCAGCTTAAATATTTTCAATATTTTAAATCGGGGCCCAGGGATTTAAAATATTTAAATCTTTTAAAGTATTTAGGCCCCAAATCAGTTTAAATATTTTAAATATTTTAAATCGGGGGCCCGGGGATTTAAAATATTTAAAATATTTAAACTAGTTAAATTATTTAAAATTTTAAATCGGCCCCAGCTCCAGAAATCAGGACCCGGGGATTTAAAATTGTACAATATTTAAAATATTTAGGCCCCAAATCAGCGTAAATATTTTAAATATTTTAAATCGGGGCCCGGGGATTTAAAATATTTAAAATATTTAGGCCCCAAATCAGCTTAAATATTTTAAATATTTTAAATCGGGGCCCGGGGATTTAAAATATTTAAAATATTTAGAATATTTAGGCCCCAAATCAGCTTAAATATTTTAAATATTTCAAATCCAGGGAACCCAGGATCTGAGCCCGATTTAAAATTTTAAATATTTTAAATATTTTAAATATTTTAAATATTTTAAATCGGGGCCCGGGGATTTAAAATATTTAAAATATTAAAAATATTTAGGCCCCAAATCAGCTTAAATATTTTAAATATTTTAAATCGGGGCCCAGGGATTTACAATATTTAAAATATTTAAAGTATTTAGGCCCCAAATCAGCTTAAATATTTTAAATATTTTAAATCGGGGGCCTGGGGATTTAAAATATTTAAAATATTTAAACTATTTAGGCCCCAAATCAGCTTAAATATTTTAAATATTTTAAATCGGGGCCAGGGGAATTAAAATATTTAAAATATTTAGAATATTTAGGCCCCAAATCAGCTTAAATATTTTAAATATTTCAATTCCCGGGAACCCAGGATCTGAGCCCGATTTAAAATTTTAAATATTTTAAATATTTTAAATATTTTAAATATTTTAAATATTTTAAATCGGGGCCCGGGGATTTAAAATATTTAAAATATTTAAAATATTTAGGCCCCAAATCAGCTTACATATTTTGAATATTTTAAATCGGGGCCCAGGGATTTAAAATATTTAAAATATTTAAAGTATTTAGGCCCCAAATCAGTTTAAATATTTTAAATATTTTAAATCGGGGGCCCGGGGATTTAAAATATTTAAAATATTTAAACTATTTAAATTATTTAAAATTCTAAATCGGCCCCAGCTCCAGAAATCAGGACCCGGGGATTTAAAATATTTAAAATATTTAAAATATTTAGGCCCCAAATCAGCTTAAATATTTTAATTATTTTAAATCGGGGCCCGGGGATTTAAAATATTTAAAATATTTAAAATATTTAGGCCCCAAATCAGTTTAAATATTTTAAATATTTTAAATCGGGGGCCCGTGGATTTAAAATATTTAAAATATTTAAACTATTTAAATTATTTAAAATTTTAAATCGGCCCCAGCTCCAGAATCAGGACCCGGGGATTTAAAATATTTAAAATATTTAAAATATTTAGGCCCCAAATCAGCTTAAATATTTTAAATATTTTAAATCGGGGCCAGGGGAATTAAAATATTTAAAATATTTAGAATATTTAGGCCCCAAATCAGCTTAAATATTTTAAATATTTCAATTCCCGGGAACCCAGGATCTGAGCCCGATTTAAAATTTTAAATATTTTAATTATTTTAAATAGTTTAAATACTTTAAATCGGGGCCAGGGGATTTAAACTATTTAAAATATTTAAAATATTTAGGCCCCAAATCAGCTTAAATATTTGAAATATTTTAAATCGGGGCCCGGGGATTTAAAATATTTAAATTATTTAAAATATTTAGGCCCCAAATCAGTTTGAATATTTTAAATATTTTAAATCGGGGGCCCGGGGATCTAAAATATTTAAAAAAAATTAAAATATTTAAAATATTTAAAATTTTAAATCGGCCCCAGCTCCAGAAATCAGGACCCGGGGATTTAAAATATTTAAAATATTTAAAATATTTAGGCCCCAAATCAGCTTAAATATTTTAAATATGTTAAATCGGGGCCCGGGGATTTAACATATTTAAAATATTTCAAATATTTATATTATTTAAAATTTTAAATCGGCCCCAGCTCCAGAAATCAGGACCCGGGGATTTAAAATATTTAAAATATTTTGAATATTTAGGCCCCAAATCAGCTGAAATATTTTAAATATTTTAATTCGGGGGCCCGGTGATTTAAACTATTTAAAATATTTAAAATATTTGGGCCCCAAATCAGTTTAAATATTTCAATTATTTTAAATTGGGGGCCCGGGGATTTAAAATATTTAAAATATTTAAATTATTTAAAATTTTAAATCGGACCCAGCTCCAGAATCAGGACCCGGGGATTTAAAATATTTAAAATATTTAAAATATTTAGGCCCCAAATCAGTTTAAATATTTTAAATATTTTAAATCAGGGACCCGGGGATTTAAAACATTTAAAATATTTAAAATTTTAAATCGGCCCCAGCTCCAGAAATCAGGACCCGGGGATTTAAAATATTTAAAAGATTTATTTAAGCAGCATTGGGCCTGAAATTGCGCTATATATGCAGGAAAGGGTCCCGCGACACATTATACATACTCTACCCTCTTACCCCCCCCCCCCTCCCCACAGCTCGAGAGAGAGGCATCGTTGAAGCATGTCTTCTCCCGGTAAGTACCTCCTTTTGCAGGCAGGGGCCGCCGTCATAGCCTTTAACCAAATTACATTTGGAGTAGTGACCAGAGGCTTTCCAAAGAGTCGCCATGAAGAGCCTCTGAAGAAACTTGCGGTTTTCGACCAAGAATCCCCTTTCAATCAGCTACCTTTGGCAAACGGACTGAGGCCATGTTCCACAGCAGTGTGCACTTTACCTACAACCAATACCCTCTTCTTCAGTGTATGACAGGGTGTGATGTCACCCTTACCTGAAACAAGCGGGTTTCATCTGTGAACACTTGTTCGGAGGCTTCAGGATAATGACGTGAGGTTGTGGTTTGGGGGTTACGCAGCCCAAAACGAAGGACCGCAAATAGTTTTCCACTGCTTAACGGTCCTGAAATGTCACTTGAATGGTCGAATTGGGGTTCGGCACACGGTTGGGAGCCCCAGAGTGGCAAGTTCACAGGGGGATGTCCTTGGGTGTGGGGAATCATCACTTGACGGGGACCCCGTAATAGCTTGGGTTGATTCATTTGGGGTCGGCATGGGTTCCCCAAATTCCTCTTCGTGTTGCTTTGAAGTTGAAGTGGACGCTGATGAATCCGGCCCAGTCCCCCTTTTTAACTGAAAAACCGCCCTCTGCCTCGGATCCACTGGCCCGGATTTCCACTCCGAACAACTGGCTGGTTCTAAATGATCGAAATATGATCATTCCCCAAACCATCCCAACCATCCCACTGGCTTCCCCAAAAAATCGGGAATCCCCTTCCGGTTGCTCCCACCAACCCCCGGACTCGGAAAAATGTCCATCCCACCTCTGGCAGCCGAGGGGAGTTTGCACTTCAGCCCGGGGCGCCTGGACCGCTTCGAGCTCCAGGCGTCGCCGCCCGGTCCACGCTGCCCGGACGTCCCACCACCCGTCTTTTTTGGTTTCATTGGGAGGAGCCTATGATCCATGGGCTTGGTCTCACAAAAGTGGACATCGCAAGTATGTGCCAAAATTACTCCGAATACTTGATGGTTTAGTTGGCTTCATTGAGACGAGCAGTTTTGTTTATGGTAGACCCCACCGCGTTTTGTCAGTCGAAGCATACCCAAGTATAGGGCAGTTGGGCTAGGCCAGCTGGGGCCGAGACCTTCCAGAGACCCACTGAGAGGTAATCTAGGGGTAACGTCCATGTCCATTCTTTCCGGATATATCCGGATCTTTCCAGAAAACCACCCATTTTTTTTGGGGAAATGGTGATCGGTTCTTGAAAACGATGGCTGAAAAGAATGGTTGGAATCAACCCATGGAGGTAAACAATACCGCTTCCATGTGCTTTTCTGAATATTGTCTATTTTCCCCGTTGGTTGTAAAGGGAATCTATCACTGTCAATAGTTGTATTTGTTTCCTGGGGACGTCAGCGAATGGAGGACCTGGTTACCTACTTTTGCGGAAAATGGAATCACTGGGCGTTCTATCTTTCTCCAGCTGTTTTTGGGTGTGATACTCTATGAATCCCAAAGACCCACCATTAGCAGACACTGCCCCCAAAAACACAAAGGGGGTCTATGAAAATTTGAGGTGGGGGGGGCGGGGGGGTGGGGCTGGGGGGTACGTTCTGTACCAAGGTGATTCCCCCAAAAAAACGGACAATTGTTTTGCAGGGACCCAACATTGGCTCCAAACCATACACTGTGTCTAGCTGGTACAAAGTAAGGGAGCACGCTTTGGTTCTGAGTAGGGAGCCTGATTGCTTTTTTCATGGTGGTATGAACCATACCAGGTCCTCTGGGCCGGCCCAGTTAAACTAAGACTAAGTCATTTGTCTCCCAGCTGGGCTGGCCTTGTTAAAATGAGTTCATGTGGTTCCAGCAAAACAAGCTTATCTATCTATCGGATTTACCATCAAACAATAGTTTGACCAAACATGCCCACAGAAAGATGGTATAGTACTTGGGGTAGCAGATCCCACCAATTCGGTAACCCTTCGGTATGTTTTTGCCTCAAGGTTTTGCCGTGGATTGTTCCCCTGATGACCTACGCAAGTGTCTTGCCTAACACTCATTTGGGGTGGTTGGGCGAAGGAGACCTGTTTGCAGCTTGTTTCGGATTCGGTTTAGGGCACATACTGTGGATGGACGAAATCCTGCACCACTTTGAAACCAGGGAAACCATTGTGGGTTGATATTTACAGGGGAATCACCATTCCAGCGTTTCTTAGGTGGTGCGTTGCATGGATTTTGTCCATCACCTGGAATCCCAGTCGGGGCGGGGAGATTGGGAGCGTGTAGGCGGCCTTTCAGCGCCTCGACATCTTCGCAACGCCGCGGGACGGGGATGGATTCCTTGTGCTGAAGTAGATATGTCGAAGTTGGACCCAACAGAACTGCCCTGAAGAAGGGAAATCACCAACCATCATTTTGGGGAATCCGACGTTTGAAGGTTTGTGGAGGGTCCAGGGATATGTTCTCTATGTTTTTTTTGGGGGCCCTATCACTGGAAATATGTTATTTGTTGCTTTTTTGGCAGGAAATCCAAGTAAAAGCAGTTTATTACGAGGGGAAATATGTTCTCATGCTTTCCAGGCGAACAATGCAAATGGAGCGATGGGTTTGAGTTTGTATTTAACTTTGTTTGGGTTTTGCACCCAGAGCTGCAAAGGGCACTGGATGTCCCAAACGCTGTTGACGGTTAGCTCTCTGGTCAAATTTGGCTATTGCAACCCAACAGTTCTGGGGTCACATCCTTGCAGTAGTTTCAGGGAGGTCAAGTTGCGGGGCCACCTTTAAGGTCCAGGTGATTTTATCCAATCTGAAGCAATGCATCTCCTTCAGGGAAATTGGCTTGAGGCCCAGGTCAGTTGTTAAGTCTCTTCCCAAAGGAAGGGGTGACCCAGGGTTCACCGAGCCCGCGAGGCCTCAAACTGTTTGGAGCCCCGAAATCAATCCGCAAGAGTTGGTTGACATGATTGATGGTTCTTCTCACTTAGGTTCCTGGATTTTATTGTCACTTTTTGTTGGACCATTTTAGTGGGAAACAACAAGGTTTGCTTACTTTGTCTGACCAATCCACTTGATCGGAAGTGAGTCTGTTGCTTTTGGGTTGGAAACCAGGCATATTTGGAGGGGTTTGCATTTCAGGTCAACCTAGCCGCTCATGGACTCTTGTAGGGTGTCCAACCCCTCCTAGGGTCCTATAGGGACACCCCGGAGCCATCAAATAGCTCCTTTTTGAAGACCCAGGCAGTGAGCCTTTTGTCCGCCAACTGCCTTCCCAATTCTCTTCACCTATGCTTCTCTTTAGACTAACTCCCATCTTCGAAACCCGGAAAACAATAGAAACAACATATATATTTTCACCTGGCCACCCAAAGACACCTCCACCGGTTTGCCCCCCTTTTCGACTGACCCGCGTGTGCCGTGCCCCGTTTTAAGCCTTGCCCTTGGGAGGACGTGGACCAACTCCTGTCGAGCCCTGCGGCGCTGCATGAGCTCGAGGAGGTGCTGCAGCAGGCCCCGCAGCGCCGAATCCACCTGCGGTGACGCCGCTTTTTGGGTCGGGGGAAGCGACCTGTGGCAGCCGTTGGGAGCCTTTTGGTAATACATACATATATATATATATATATTATGTTTGTCTATATATACATATATATATATATATGATATGTTTATATATATATATACACATTTTTCTTCTCCGATGTTTAACACATATTTCGAAGTTTAAGTCAATCGCTTGGTGTAATACTTGATATGTGATGACCCCATGAACCACGTGCGGATGATTCCAATTGGTTTCAAAGTAATTCCCCCGCAATTGTACTTGGCTGGTGACCGGGGTGCGACTCGCCCCAATCGCGGAAAGGTGACCGACCTTTTACTCAGAAGATCAACGTTTTGGTGTGCGCCAAGCAGAAATATGTTGTTTCGACTGGACAACACTTTGTTTCTTAGATAGAGGACCCCAAAATGGTTGCTTTCCTTTTGGTTTTCCCTTAGCATGCCCTTTCGATGTCATTTGGCTAGAGTTTTTGTCAGAGCAACACAAAGACTCCCAATTCCATTTGTTGTCGAACTCCCTATGTCGAGACACACCCGAAGAAGTCTCAAGGGCGAAGCGGCTGAATGGGGACCTTTGAGAGGCAGAGGAGGGGAGGGGTGGTCGCAACCCGAACCGTTTTCGGGGCTGTTTTGCATTCGGTGTCCCTTTGAGATTTTAAGATCAATCCAAACAGTTCTTCGTTTTTACAAAGAAATCACTTCCAAAAGGACCGATGTTCTTTGTTTTTACAAACAAAACAACAAATCCGGGGGGGGGGGAAAGAAAAAAAACGAAACCATGCCAAAAGTTCACCGATGCCGGGTCGGCCAACAGAGCGTTGCGCCAGGCCTTGGACGGTCGGCGCCGGCGGCTCTACAAAGCCACACCTCAAGGGCCCAGCTTCTTGGCGCCGGTGCATTAAGTTCACTTTGGAAACCACGGATTTTGCTAGGGGTTAGTTCTTTCGGGCCCAGGCAAGCTTGCTAGTTTCTGGCTGCAACGAGGCAGTTGGTTGCTTCCAAGGGAAAGAGAGACCCAACAACTTCCGGAAGGATGGAGAAGTGAGTTGCAAAGACCCGATCCCCGCTGGATATCACTTTACAGGCTTGGCATTGGAAATGGCCCGGTCTTTCTATCAACTACGCTGAGAAAGAGAAGTAACTCACAATTTAGCGGCAGTAGTCAGTTTCTCAGGGTTTGTTGAGGGTCCAGATACCCCTTTTTCCATAACGGCAGGCAAATTTGTAGGAGCATCAAACACTGAGTGCCACACCAGCCCCAAATTCCTCTCCCTGAGTGGTCGTGATTCCTTTTTGGGAAGACCATCTTGGTGCTAGACCAAACGTTTCGACTTGTTTTGACCAGTCCACTCAGGAAGTGAGAAAAGGTGCTTCCTCTAGACATGGGTGGGTTTGTTGGGGTCCCATCGAAAAGCCTGGTTTCCATTGATTTTCCCCCATGATGTTCAACTCAGGAAATGAGACGAGTCGCAGAACCTCTGTTGTTCAGCATGTTTTGTAAGGGCGATTCTTTGTAAAATGAACCATCCAGAAGAAAATAAAATATGAAACAACCAAACAACAACAAAACCAACAAACACAAGACACGCACAGAAAACAAAACAAACAAAAAACAATACACTAAAAGAAACAAACAAATAAAATAGAACAACAAAAACACGACACACAACCAAACAAGAAAAGAAAAAACAAAGACAACGGCCGGTCGGAGTGCCCCGAGGTTTGTCGCCGCCTTTGATCGCGGCCTTGGGCTCCAAAGTGGCGCCTCCCTTTGCTCCGCGCATCGGATGAGACGGATCTGGGATCAGTGTGGGCCTTTTGAGGGTACCCCATGAGCCACTTGCTCTTAACCCGGGATTGATGAAGGTTAGTAAGGGGTCCCAGCCAGAAATAATTAGCTGGGGATATCCGCCTTCTTAATTCTTTACATGGTTCTAGGTAGACCATTTGAATACCGGGTTTTGATTGTACCCCAGATGCCCAGCGGCGCCCCTTTAACAGGCCACTGAAAATACCAGTGGGATCCCTTTTGTGATGCCCAGTGCCCACTTTCCTTTTGAGGGTGCCATCCAGTCATCCAGTGGCCCCTTGGCGCCCACTTTCCAGGTTGTGTTTTAACACCCTCCCCCAGTAATTCGAATAGAATTCAAGCTGCTTTCGTAGGTAACCACAGCCCAGTTGCCCAGTGGGCTTTTTTTTTTTTTTTTTTTTTTTTCGTTTGTTTGGGGAAGGGTTCCGATTCCTTTAAACTCAACCAACCAAAAAAGGATGCCTTTTTTTCCTATGGAAATCCACTGGGGATCTGAGCAGTGGTGCCCGTTCCCCCCCCCCCCAATCAACCAGCTGCGCCCACAGAGGCCCCGTGCGAACTTGAGTGAGAGTGAGTGGTGCCATTTGTGTAACTCTTTTTGGGGAAGGGTTCCCCTTTAAAGTCAACCAACCAAAAACGGATGCACTTTTTGCCCACTGAGCATCTGAGGTATCCCTTGGCTTTTTTGGGGCATACTCAGAAAAGATGGCTTCATGGTAGATATATATGTTTTTTTGGTCAGGGGTTGAAATTGTGTCGTAAAAGAGCAGTGGTATATAGGGGGCATGTACTGGATGCCCCATTTTTGCTGCAATTGCAGTGTTTGAAGGGTATGATATCGAGCTCTGACTAAAGAAGGAGGCGGTTAGCTGGAAAACCATATTGTCCAGATACGCCAACCAAGAAATGACGGTATTTAGAGTAGGGGGCACCCTTTTCCGACTGGTCCAACAACAAACGTTCAAGTTGTGTTTTTCTTATCAAGATTGAGTGGTGGCTGGAACCAGCTTGAAAGTTACGTCTAAAGCATTGGAGTTTCAACCACTAGCTCTGGGCTTGGCTTCAAAGCGCAAAAACCAAAGCCAGTGACACAAAGCAGCCAATGCCTTTTCTCAGGAAGGGTTCGGCAGGAACCTGAGACTACGGTCCCCGTTTTTTATTCGGGAGGTTGCTCCAAAGGTCCTTTGCATGGGGTGACAATCATTGGGGACACTTCCAAGCATGTGATGACTTTCAGCACTGAATGGGAACAAATACCAATGGTCATTTTGGGGCCGAAAGGAATGCTGATGAATCCCTATATGTGTCTCAAGCATCATGTTGGCCACTTTAGGGTTTGGGGGTTTCCCCTGGTGCATGGGTTGGAGCGTGTTAACGTTAGCAAGCAAAGGCTTGGACTTGTTTTGACCGAACCAAAGCATTGTTTACCTACCCTTTTCAGGTTGCGTTAACAGGGAACTCAAAGGAGGTTTCCAACTTAAATAAGGATGAGCCGTCTTTATAAATCAAAAACCAAACAAGCGAAGAACAACAATACAATCTACCTCTTTGCATGTTGATGAGTTTGTTATTTGCTTGGTCCCGTTCCTTGTTGGTTGGGGGGCTGTCAAACCAAAAACAAGCAACACACGTATTGGATACCATACCAAGGTTTGGGAGCCATCTTTTTGAAGCAAACAAAACAAAGCAAACAAGCGTGCAGGCTGAGAAACACACAAGCAAATGGAAGCAAACAAAGAAAGCTGACAAAAAAAAGCGAGTAGAGCAAAAAAATGGGTTGCAAACAAAGAAACCGCACAAATTCTTAGCGAGCACTTCCCCGAAAGAGTCTTAGAGGCATGGAGGTTATAATTATTCATACGTGCTTTTTGTGAGGGGTACACATTTCGTTGCAAGCTTATTTTGGTGGTATATGTATGGGTATGTTGTTAGGGCATCCCGCCTCCCCCAGAAAGGTGGTGTTTCTTGCGTTTCCGTTTGAACACCAAGAACCGTATCCCACATAAGCATTCATACCTAGACAGCCATTCTCCCTGAAAATGCCCACAAATGATGTCCAGATCGCCGTGCGGTTGGTTCTCGGTGACCGAGTCACCCAAGCCGTGCCCCCTGCCGGTTGTGCAAAAGCAAGCGACAAGAAGGGTCTTGGTGTTTTTTTGCTGAGGCTTCCCATTCTTAGGTTGGTGCGGTTGAAACCGAAAGGGTCGTCACCTTTTTGCAGGCCTAAATTTAGAGACTTTGACACTGAGTCGGTCTGATTTGTGTTTGACCCTTTTGCCATGCTTTGAAAGGGAACCCCAAAGAACACCTTTGCCTAGGCAATACCCCTTATTCCTTTAGATCCAAGTATCTAGGTACCAACACTCAAAGGGAATCAAAGGCCCTTGGCAACTTTCGGTTTTGCTTTTGGGTACCCTTCTCCGAACAGCCACAAAGGGATTACTCCCCATATCAAGAAGCTATGTGGGTGGTCTCGTCCCTCTAAATGCCAATGGAAAGGGGTGCTCCTGTTTGAGAAGCTTCTTGTTGAGTGCAACCGGGCAACCGGTCAGTTCGTCGCTCGCTCAGCGAAAGTGTTTTTTGGCAGCGCCCTGTGGAGTTGTCGGGTGCAATCCATTTGCGAAGCTGAAGATTAGGCAGGCTAGCTTGCTCAAACCTGGTCCCCAATGATTGGCGGATTGCTGACTATCAAATTTTGAAGCGCGGGTTCCGGATTATAACCATGGAACAAGGATTAATCGGATTACGGATTGTGATTCGGCTGCGGGATTTTGAACAGTCTAAGCATTTCAGCCAGACATGTTTGCTCCCCTTTGAAACCCTAGCTAGGTTGTTCGATATACATCTGATTTGGTTGTTTGCCAAAATCCGCTTCGGACCAAATGGTGGTTTGTCAACCAGTATTCATGGGTGTGCATCCTGGTGCGGTCTTTTGCCACTGCATTTACCATCATGTCCCTGTCCCATTGATCATTGACTATGACAAATGTCCGATTTGAAGAGATTGAAATCCTGAGTTTAGGATCGAGCGTCGACCGAGTAGCGACACACGTTTACCAATCACATCCATCTGTGAAACCGGGAACAACCGCAAACTAATTCCCAAATGGAAGATACAAATTTGGGAAAGCCTGGTCTTTCATATGCGATAGATACCTTTTTTTGAAGGATCAACATCATGGCCTTAAACAAAGCGGGTATTTGGAGAGGGCTACCGCCCAATAACCATTTGACAGCTCGAAGGGTGCTGGCCCAAAACATCTGCCTAAGGCATCGATTCACGCGTGCAAAAGAAAACTGGGCAGGGCGTGGGGCCAACTCCATGAGTGTCCAACTGGGGCGTGGAACATGAGTTGTTTTTTTTTTTTTTTTTTTCTGTGTGGTAGCTTGAGGGCCCAATTTCCGTTTTGAGTTGGTTTTTGGACATCAAAATGGAAACTGGCCGTTTTGGGGTACTCCAGGTACTGACACACACCCAAATAGGGCTTCAGGGCGTTGCAGTACTGCAAAATTGGCCCATTAAGGTTCCTAAGCGTGGAGGGGATCTCCCCCCCAATGAAGAGAACCAAACCACTGAAACAGTAAAGCGTATGCAAAGACCCCGTGAAGACGGTGGTTTGTATGTTTGGTTGCTTGGTTGTTGACGATTCGGGAAAAAGGTAGCAAATTGCGGAGACCCATGATTATGTTTTGGCCCCTTTTCGCAGTTCCCAGGGAACATGGCTAAATGGTATCCCAGACCTCCATCCAACTGGAACAAGACAGATGCCTTCTTGTGGTACCGACCACTTAAAAAGGGTAAGCCGCCCTGTTTTAGGAGTATCAATCATATTGGGTATTTTTAAGGTTCAGGGTTTCGGATTCTCACACCACGACTACTTCATCACTTGAAAGACCTCCCTCCGCGTGTTGTTTTGCCACATAAATTTGCGGACCCTAAACCCAAGCTTTCCCAGAACTTCTATTCAGGGAGCCTACTTGTGTTCGGCCAGGTTAGTGCATTGTTGCAACCGAAGTGAGAATCCGCTTAAACATTCCCCCGTTCAGTACAGTTCACCATGTAACAGGGCTTTTTCACACCGCTGGCTAACCACGAACTTGGCCTGCAAGTAGGAACAAGTGGACCCGGCTTGCTCTCCGCTGCACGTCCGCTGCACCTGCGCGCGCGGTTTATTGCCATTGCGGCTGTCAGCCACATACGTTTAACGAAGCTAATCCGAAGCATTTGTCTGCAAGGACCGCCGGGGGAAAGGTGCTGGGGGCTGGGAAGGTGGTCAAAACGGTTAGGTCGACCCTTTGGATTTCGAGATGAATGGAGATGAGTGAGCGGAAAGTGAGTTGCACGAAAATTAATGGAGATCTTTGCTGATCGAAAATGAGTTGCTCCACCCCTTGGGAAGCCTTGGGGTTGTCATGGCGCTTCGGAGACTGCTTCGTCTTTTGCCCATTGGATTCCGCTTCTGTTGACATGATTTTTTCCCCACGCGACAGCTTGGGGGGCAGATTTTGAATTACAACATGGGTTTCTATACTGTTCTTGGCATGTTGTTTGGTCTTGGCTCCGCTCATTCTTGGGGGGGTGCCTGCGAGAGAAACATGGTTGTTGACTATGCCAATTGCAAGGATTGGAGAAATTCTGAACACTGTCTGCCTGTTGCGCCCGGATCCGAGTGTGTCGAATCCGGGACCTGAAGAATCGAATCTGGGGCATTTGGGCAAGCCACCAAACAGCCCAGGGTGTCATCCCTTAATTGGCACAAATGCGGAAAGCCGACCTCTGACTCTTCACATGGTTGTGTGCGACACTTTAATCCCTGGTATTAATACGAAGTGGGGGTCGTTTTATGTTGTCTGGAGCTTTGTTGGCATCATGCCATTCTGGTGCACTGAATATGGATTACAATCTAAACCCGACTTTCCGCGAATTTCCCTTAGCAGCAAAAGCTCACAGTTTTGCTCAACATCCGTGTGGTGAAAGTTGGTCAGCTTGGGGCCGCAACTGAGTCGTAGTAGGCAGTGCT